TGAGTTGGACCGCCCGTGAAGGCTAAGTCCACCGGCAGGACGTCCCGCGGCACGCCAGTTAACACCGCGTGCGATGAACCGGCGGCGCGGGACACAAATTCGACTACGAGCTTTTTAACCGCAACAACTTTAATATACGCTATTGGAGCTGGAATTACCGCGGCTGCTGGCACCAGACTTGCCCTCCAATTGATCCTCGTTAAAGGGTTTAGAGTGTACTCATTCCGATTACGGGGCCTCGGAAGAGTCCCGTATCGTTATTTTTCGTCACTACCTCCCCGTGCCGGGAGTGGGTAATTTGCGCGCCTGCTGCCTTCCTTGGATGTGGTAGCCGTTTCTCAGGCTCCCTCTCCGGAATCGAACCCTGATTCCCCGTTACCCGTTACAACCATGGTAGGCGCAGAACCTACCATCGACAGTTGATAAGGCAGACATTTGAAAGATGCGTCGCCGGTGCTAGACCATGCGATCAGCGTAAAGTTATTCAGAGTCACCAAGTTGTACGATGACGAGCGCGAACCCGCCACCGATTGGTTTTGATCTAATAAAAGCGCTCCTTCCGTCTCCGGTCGGAGCTCTGTTTGCATGTATTAGCTCTAGAATTACCACAGTTATCCAAGTAAATGTGGGTACGATCTAAGGAACCATAACTGATTTAATGAGCCTTTCGCGGTTTCACCTTAATATGGCTTGTACTGAGACATGCATGGCTTAATCTTTGAGACAAGCATATGACTACTGGCAGGATCAACCAGGGAGCTGTTGCGTTTAGCAAAAAAAAACGTCGCGTGCGTAACACGATATAGAAAAAGTGTGTTTGTTACACGCGGGTGTTTTTTTGTTGTAATCAAAAGAGAGATGCGTGTGAAGCGCGCTCCGGAAAATAAATTTCGGAGCGCCACGCGCTTTCAAATTCTGATACAGACAAAACATACACACATACACGTTTATATTATGCTGTCAACGAACAGCACACAGCACACAATACAACGACAACACACACACCATCCGCCCGCCGTGAACACGCACGCATGCACACACGTAAATATGTATACACACACGGGAAAAATGAATAAACCGTATTGTGTTTGTATATTTGTGTGTTCGACGTGCGCGCGTACACGTACGAGTGTGCGTGTGAGTGTGTGTGCGCGCGTGTGTGTGTGTGTTTATATAAATATATATGTATACGTCTAACGTATTAATACCGGTTGTACCAGGGCGCGCGCTTTCGTCGTCGTCGTCGTCGTCGTCGCTAAGAGTGACTACGATCGTACTAAGGCGCGCGCGCCGTTACGGTAACCGGTGGAAAACTTCGAACATTCTCTCGACCCTTCGCTAGATTGAAAGCGACACGGTGTAATCGAAAAGATAGTTCTACGTTTCGGTTATAAAGACAACAACTGTCGTCGTCGTCGTATTCTCACTCGGAATGAGGAGAGATGTCGCAAATGTGAAAAAATATTACGAAGAGCGAGCTGAAGATCGTCTTTCGTATATTATACACGTTCGATCGCATTTGGACCGCTTAACGGCTGTGCGCTAGCTAAATCCGCGATCTCGCTGTGGAACGCGCGTATATATATGTATATATGTATATGTGTATATATACGCATAATGAAACATCGAGATAAAACGATAGTGTATGTGCGCGAGGGAAGGACACGCGAGGGAGGGACGCGAGCGACCGTTTTTTGTTCGAGTTGCTGCGCCTCCTCCTCCTCCTCACTCCTCCTCCTCTCACTCACTATCCACACACCGTCTACCGAGCTCGAAGCCGTTTCACAAACCAGCATTCTTTATCATCGTTCAATACATACGCTACATTTATATGATGCGTTTCGAAAAGCGCGGCATCAATCGCACAATTTCCTATAAGGGCTCGAGTAAAATAAAACAAAACTTGTACACAATTTCTCCCCCCACTCCCGCCCAAAGGCCTGGAGTGGCGCTGCGTGGTTCAGGCCGCTTGCGCATTCCCCGAGTGTGTGCTGCCGAACGAGCTATCCCCCCTTCCCCAATTTTGCCCCTTTTTCCCGAAATTTGACTCGATCGCGCACGCGTCGCGGAAGCGCGTGGTGGACGTTTCTTCCAACTGTCGGTTCTCGACTTTATGGCCGGCCTCTTTTCTTGGGGGTCCTGCGCTGGGGGCTTTCGACCTAAGCCCCTCCTAAAGGTTGGTGAGCCTTCGCTCTTTCCTCGTCGACTGGAGTCAGTCAGTCGTCGTCAGTCAGTCATTTTTGTAAGTCATTCGTCTCCTGAGGTTAGCCCCGAGTCCGTGCTTGACTCTGGCCACCTCAATCGACAGGCTTCTTTTTGTCCACCCGTTGTACACGGGCTGTTCTTTCCCCTCTTGGGTGTACAACCATTGTCGGTCTTCTCCCCTTTTCTTTGGCCTCATCAGCTGCTAGGGCCAAATATCTTCTTGTTGCAGCTGGCTTTTCGGTCTTTTATGACGCCTTATTGTTCTTGGGTCGTAATCCAAGGCGGCTTCAATCAGCACATTTCTTTTCAAAGAACTTTCTGGCCCTCTCTCTCATCTGGATTACGACCGGTACCTGTCGTAGTTCGTCATATAGCACTCTGTTAGGTACATACCACGGTGCGTCCACCGCTTCACGGAGTGCCATGTTTTGTTGAGCTTGGAGCCTCTTCTTCATCGTTTTGGAAACGTAGCCCCAAGCTACTGCTGCGTAAGTCATGATTTGTAGCAGCACCATCTGAATCATGATGGTCTTATTCTTTAGTGACACTTTGCTTCTTCTGCCCGTTAAGGGTCGTAGTTTGGAGCGTGCCATCTTCACTTTCTGCTCCCGGTCTTCGACATGGTTCTTCCAAGTGAGTTTCTGGTCCATCTTGACTCCAAGGTATGTGCTGGAGTCTTTCCAGTCGACCTCAACCTCTTCATCTCTTCTCCAGCCTCTCTCCATTCTGGTGGTCGTCATCTTTATTTTGGTCTGAGGTAATCTTCGATTTCTTCGGAACAGTACCGCTTCGGTCTTCTCGGGGTTGAGGCGGATCTTCCACTTGATGCACCATTCCTCTAGGTTGGTGGTCGCTCGTTGCAGATATTCCGTAACCATGCGGGGTCTCGTACTTTCTGCCGCATATGCTGTATCGTCCGCATACACATACAGTTGCGTTTGAGGAGTCTTCGGGATGTCTGAGCTGTAGATTGGATACAGCAGGGGTGGTAGAACCGCTCCCTGCGGTACTCCTGCCTCCACAGTCCTCGTCGTCGAGGTTGTTTTACCGATCCTAATTCGGAAATTTCGGTGCTTCAAGTAGGACTTCACCAGTTGGATCATGCCCTTTGAGTATCCGAGGTCTACCATCTTGTAGATCAGTCCGTCATGCCAAACAGTGTCGAACGCCTTTGCGGCATCCATGAACACAGCTCCCACGGCCCGCCGAGTCTGGAACGATTTCGTTGCCATCTCGACCAGCCTTAGGACCTGGTGCTCTGCTGAATGCCCGCATCGGAATCCGAACTGTTCGTCTGGAACTACTCGGAGTTCTTCGGTTTCGTTCTTCAGTCTTCGTTCGATTACCCTTTCCGCAATCTTGCTCAGTGCCGTCAACAGGCTTATGGGTCTGTAATTTTGGGGGAACCTTGGGTCTTTCCCAGGTTTAGGAATGTTGATCACCTCGGCTACTTTCCAGTGATCTGGAAAGTACCGGTGTCTCAGTATGGCGTTGACGATGTTGGTAATTGCCATTATCGCTTTCCTCGGGAGTCTCTTCAGGACTCTGTTCCCAATATCGTCTACACCCGGTGCCTTCTTCACCTTGAGTCTTTCGATGATTTCCCTTACCTCGCCTGGAGAGGGCATGTCTTCGATGGCTCTTCCTCCTCTGACAGCTCTCCTCGATCTTCTCATCACCTCGTCGATGAAGTCTTCGTCTTCATCGGGGTGAGTATTGTGAGTACACTGTCTCTGAAGGTTGTCAGCAAAAGCTTCTGCCTTCTCTTCGGTTGTGTACACCATCCCCTGTTCGCTGTGTATTGGGGGGATGGGCTGTCTTCTATTTCTGAGGATTTTAGCCAAGTTCCACATTCCTGGGTCAGCTGGAGATAGTTCGTCGAGTTTCTTATCCCAGGTGCTCTGATGGTGCTGCTTCAAGGCGTCTCGTGCCTGTCTCATAAGTCTGTTTGCCACCATGATGTCAGTGGGGCTTCTGGTCTCCTGGGCTACTCTTCGGGCTCTGTTTCTTTCGGTGATCTTGCGATTTACCTCGTCAGGTAGGTCCCTGAACCTGTTTGGTTGCGTTATGTCTTCCACGGTGGTTGCGGCTTCTAACGCAGCCTTAATCTTCCTTTCTAGGTCCGTGACCGCTTCTTCTATGCTTTCGATCTGTAGTAGTGGTCCTTGTGAATAGTGCAGTCTGGTTCTAAACCGCTGCCAATTCACTCTCTTCACTGTTCTTTGTTCCACAGGTGTTATCCCATCTCCCGTACAGAGAAAGATGGGGTTGTGGTCTGAGCTTCCCTCTTGCATGGCGCCGATGGTGGTGCGCATGTCGATTTCCTTCAGAATCGCCATATCTATGACGTCTGGTCTACCTCCGTTGCTGGGGTATATTGTAGGTTCGTCCGGACCTATCATGGTATATCCAGGTTCATCCATTAGTCTTTCCAGAACAGCGCCGTGACTGTTTCTGTTTCTTGAGCCCCAAATGGTGGACTTCGCGTTTAGATCACCTACGATCACGGTACTGTTTCCCAGTGCAGTGATACAGGTGACATCTTCCAGATATTACGGACTTCTTCTATACATATATATATATATATATATATATATATATATATAGAGAGAGAGAGGGAGAGAGAGAGAGAGAGAGAGAGAGAGAGAGAGAGATAGATGAAAAGATTAAAATAACGACCACAGCTAATTATCATTTTGCATTTTATCATAACATAGTGGTTCTGAAAAGAACCGTTTTTTTTTTGTTCTTATTTTTCGAACCGTATAACCGTCGAAGCGAATACAACGTCTATATTATTTTGAACTGGTGTACTTGGTGACGGCTTTGGTACCTTCGCTGACTGCGTGCTTGGCCAATTCTCCCGGTAGCAATAGTCGTACGGCTGTCTGAATTTCTCTGCTAGTTATCGTGGCACGTTTGTTGTAATGTGCCAATCTGGAAGCTTCCGCAGCGATACGTTCGAAAATATCGTTGACGAAGCTGTTCATGATGCTCATCGCTTTGCTGGATATACCCGTATCGGGATGTACCTGCTTCAGTACTTTGTAGATGTAAATTGCGTAACTTTCCTTCCTCCTGCGCTTCTTTTTCTTGTCAGATTTTGAGATATTCTTCTGCGCCTTGCCCGCTTTTTTGGCAGCCTTACCGCTAGTTTTGGGTGGCATTTTATTGTGAGATGATGCTGAGTATAATCGACACCAACGCTCGACTAACGGAACGACTTTTTTTTTTTTTTTTTTTTTTTTTTTAACGAGGGGGGAATGCATTTACGCACCATACCATAGCACGAGCTACGACGTGTGTGGGGCTCCAGGGTCTTGAAGAGATCACCTAATACCCACTAAACCCTAAACCTCCGCGTGGCCCGACTCATCAGCGTCTCGGTAGGCCATGTGTTGTGCGTGACCTGCGGTCTGCTACAACGTCTCCTCATGTGTTTCAGTCTCTGGGAACGCCGGGTTGGTTCCCTTTACCTCGCACATTCTATCGATGTCGTTAAGCGATCATCTATAGAGGGTCTGCTAGTTTCTCTTGAAACTCTTGTTTTCGAAAAATCAAGAGTTTCAAGTCATCTTACCAATATGTTGTTCCTGGTCCTGGTCCTGAAGGGTCCTGGTCCTGGTGGGTCCTGGTCGTGGCGGGTCCTGGTTGGTCCTGGTCCCGGTGGTTCCTGGTCCTCTGCATCCACGCCGTGGGGGGGGGGGGGGGGAGCAGCCGCAAATTCTCCTAGTCTCCTAGTCAAGGTTCCAGTTAGCGGGTGCCAACTGGGACCTTGGTCTGGGGTACCTGGTTCTGCGGTTGCGAGGCCTCTCGTCCGGATCGTAGTCCATGAGGAATCGTAGCTGCTCGTTCGGGTGGTCCTGAGCTTTCTCGAAGGTCTTCTCCGCTTTTTTCCTCATGTACTCGTGGATGGTATCCCAATGCAGGTCTCTACGCAAGGTTGAGTTCCTTACGTAGGAAGGTGCATTGGTGGCGATCCGGAGTAGCTTCATCTCTAGAGCAGCAAGTCGCTTGCGGTAGCTGGGGGCAGCGTACCCCCAGACCGCGGAGGCGTAAGCGAGCTGAGGTCTGGCGATGGCCTTGATCAGCCGTAGCTTGGTCGCTAGCGGCATCTGGCTGTGTCTACCCAGTAATGGATAGAGTTGAGCCATGGCTGCTCTGGTTTTTGCGATGACAGCTTCTATGTGCGCTTTCCAGGTGAGGGACTTGTCAAAAACGATCCCCAGATATTTGACATTGTCGCTCCACTGGATATCTTCATCGAAGATGGATGCTTCGAGAGGTCTTGCAATCCTTCTTCGTTGAATGAAGATTGCCTGCGTCTTCTGGACGTTGATGCGGATTTTCCATTTCACGCACCAGTCCTGAATTTGGTCCAGTTCACCCTGTAGTCTCCTACGGATGATCTCGGGTCGTCTATGCTTGGCGGCTATAGCAGTGTCGTCTGCATATAGGGCCAGCATTGTGTCAGCTGTCTTCGGCACATCGTAAGTATAGATGTTGTAGAGCAGGGGGGCTAAGGCTGACCCCTGGGGCACGCCTGCTTCCAGCTGACGTCTTGTTGAATGGCATGTACCAATCTTCACCGTGAACCATCTTTGTGTTAGATAGCTCTGGATCAGTTGGCACATGTTCGCATCGATTCCGGCGGCTTCCATTTTGGCGATGAGTCCATCGTGCCAAACTCGGTCGAAGGCTCGTTCCACGTCCAGCAGGACGAGACCGGTTGCCTCCTGGAGATTGAAGCCGCTGGTGATGTTTTCCGTCAGTCGTAGCGCTTGGAGTTCCGTGTTGTGGGAGGATCTGAAGCCGAATTGCTCTGGGGGGAGAAGTTGCAGTTCTTCTGCCTGCTTCTCTAGTCGAACGGCGATAGCCTTTTCGACTACTTTGCCCACCGAGGAAACCAGGCTGATGGGCCGGTAGTTCTGGGGCAACTTCCGGTCCTTGCCTGGCTTGGTGAGCATTATAACCTGGGCTTCCCGCCACCGCCGCGGGAAGTGGTTAAGTCTCAGAGTGGCATTGGCGATGTTGGTGAGCGCAGCAATGCCTTTGGTGGGAAGGTTCTTCAGCATCCTATTGTTGATGCCGTCCCTTCCCGGCGCCTTTCTGACCTTCAACCTGCGGATGATCAGACGGATTTCCTCTGGACTGGAGGGGTGATCCGTCTCCTGGCCAGGTGGTCGACTCCTCATGTTTTCGGCTGCGACTTCCACGGCCTCCTCGTGGTTGTCGTCCTCGTCTTCATGGTAATTGAGTCTGCATTCGGATTCTAGCGAATCGGCGAATGCTTCGGCTTTTTCTTCACTGGAGTAGGCCAAGCCGCGTTGGCCGTGAAGAGTGGGGATCGTGGTGCGCTGACGACGAAATTTTCGCTGCATAGACCAGGCCGTACCATCCTGGGTCTCTAGTTCTGCACAGGCTGCATTCCATCTGTTGTTTTGGAGTTCCGCGAGTGCGTTCTTCAGAGCTAACGATGCTCTGTTTCGCGCAACTCTCGACTCCTCTGTCAACAGCTGGAGATGTTCTCGCTTGAGTCTTCTGTTCTCCCTGATCAGGTGCCTAATATGGTGCGGTGCTGGACCATTTAGGTATCTAGGAACTGCCGTAGTCTCGGAGCGGGTGCTGTCCTCGTGCGCTCGCAGGACAGCATTCTCCAGCTCCTCTACTGCGTTGTCCAGTTCCTCCGCTGATCGGATGGTTGGAATTTGAGTGATGTTCCTCTGGACGTTGGATTTGTAAAGGTTCCAGTTCGTCCGTTTGGTGCTCAAGCTATCTCGAGTTCTAGACCCTGTACCAAGTGTTAGTAGAATCGGATTGTGGTCCGACGATCCTTCCACCAGGGTCTCTATCTCGAACTCCTCTCTGATGTTGCGGAGGATGGCTATGTCCAGTACCGCAGGTCGCCCAAGGCCGAATGGAATGTAGGTTGGTTGCTCCGGACCGACGATGACCCCCGCCAGGGCATCGACGTGTTCCTGGAGCTGCCTTGCATTCCTGTCTTCGACGTTGTTGTTCCAAGCCGGAGACTTGCAGTTTAGAGCTCCGATGACTATGCGTGCTCCTGGGCCTCTCAGGAGGTCCGCGATGTCATCTTCGTCTAGGGCCTCCCCTGGTGGCACATATAGGGAGGTGATTCTGTAGGGACGGTGGTTGTGATGGACCTGGACCGTGATTCCGTCCCCATTTATGTCTGCGGCATCGTCGAGGACATGACTCGTCAAGGTACGTTTGACGAGTAATGCGACTCCTCCACCTCTGCCCCTTCTGTCGTAGCGGTACGTCTCGTACCGCGGGAACGTCAGACTATGGGCAGCATCCAACTTCGTTTCTTGGATGGCCATCACCTCTGGTTGGTACTGGTCTAGTATCTCCTGGATTCTGGTTTCCGTGCCCTGAAAACGTTGATGTTCCAGGAGATAATGCGTAAGATTCTACGTTTTGACCTGTAGACATTTCGGGTCTAGTGCTTGTCTTGCATCTTGGCCTCGAGTGCATCCAGGCGGGTTATGATGGCTTGCATCATTGCTAGCAGTCTGTCATCGCCGTGTTGCTTCTGCGCAGTAGTTCCAGTAGCAGTGGCGGCTGCTGGGGCAGAAGTGGACATAGGCTTCTTCACTTTTTGGGCGTAAGAAGTCCTATTTGTGGTGGGACTGCTTTGGGGCAGAAGCAGCTTTCTCTTCGGCGCCTTACTACATCCCTTGTAGTTGCGGGGTGGCCTTCTCCACAGAGGCAACACTTGCGTTTCGTTGCCCTGTTGGCGGCGCTGGCAGACTGCAGCTGGTGCTGTTGTGGTCCTCTCCACATTTAACGCACCGTTCAGCGAGACGGCAGTTCCGCTGTGTGTGCCGTACCGCTGGCAGCGGTAGCACTGGCTGGGCTCGGAAGACTTTTTCTTCCTCTCGAAGCTGACCGTGAGCATGGCCAGCCTCTGGATCTCTGCAAGCTTTTCCGGCATCTTCGTCTTGACGAGGAAGAGCGGAAGTGGCTTCTTTGTGGTCCTTGAGGTCAGCTGCTGAACCACGGCGTCTGCGATGCCTTGGCTCACCAGATCCTCTTTGATGTCATTGACTGACATCTCTCTCGGAAGCCCACGAATGACCCTCTGGTCCATCCTGTCCTCCTTCAGTTGATATGTGAAGAAGGGCCGCTTGATGGATTCAAGCAGTGCGACTAGCTGACGGTAGTCAGCTGGTGTATTTGTGAATACCTTCACACTGGTACCCGCCGTCCTCGCTTTGGAGAATTGAATCCCCTTGCTGTTCATCATCCTACTCAAGGATGACCAATCAGCGGTGCCCTCGATGTTGATTGGCGGAACTCCTGTTCCTGCCATGGGGGCCTCGGTGGTCCTGGTTGCTCTAGGACCACTCTTCTTTGTGGCAGCTGGCATCTTTCGCTGCCTGGGTTCTTCTTCTTCTTCTTCGGAGGAAACTCGCACCCGCTTCCTCCGTCTGGTGGCGACACTGAAGTCGGTGTCGTCCGTCCTCTTCTCCGCTTCTTCTACGTCGATATCTTGGGCATCCATGTCCAAGTTCTCCGTAGGCTGCTGGTCCTCCTCTCCCTGGTCCTCTCCTTCTACATCTTCCTCCGTCTTCTTAGCTTTTCTCTTTGCTTTGAGGAGCTTCCTTTTCACCTCATCGATATCATTCCTCGCCTTCTCGAATGCGGCTTGCAGATTTTTCATCTGCTCAGCGAGCATTTCGAAGTTCTCCTCTTTCTCCTTAAGCTGGCTCGCCAGCTTTTCGATTCTCGCCATCGTGGATGGCGATCGTACCGCGATGAAAATCACAGTAGGATCGCACTGTATGTCCGGGTGGGTCGCAGTCGCACGAGTGTATGCTCGTGACGGCTGCTAGCTCGGAACTGACGGGATGAACGGAACGACTGCAATTCTCTGGCCGTATTTAAGACAGGTGACGTTACGACCGTAGACTCCGCCCCCAGGCGTTTGCCGGCAAACGTTCGCGTCGATTGGTCGGTTAGTTCATATAAATACAACGTTCGCGGAGATCATGTTGTGCATTTGCAAGTTCATAGTCGACGTCGTTCGTTTAGCAGATTAACAAATTGAATATGTCAGGACGCGGAAAAGGCGGTAAAGTTAAGGGAAAGGCAAAGTCCCGATCCAGCAGGGCCGGCCTACAATTTCCCGTCGGTCGTATCCACAGGTTATTGCGAAAA